CAACCTTCCTTTCGAGGAGTGGCTGGTGGGTTTGAACCGCCAGCCTTCTGGTTAGCAGTCAAGTGCCTTAGGCACTATGCTACCAGAGCTCCTATTTTAACCTTTAGTATATTTTTTAAAAATGCTGTATAAGTAAAAGGCAAATATAAACTTCAAATGAAACTGTAATATATGTGCTAGATGTGGAATTTTATATCTAATATATAATGATGTGGTAGTTAAATTTGTGTGTCAACTTGGCTGGGCCTGGTTTAGTGGCTGGGCAGCTGGATGTAGTATTCCCCATGATGAGACTGGCAATCAAATCCATGGTAGAATCTACTGTGAGCAGCTGAGTAGCTGCTTTAGGGATGTGGTCTGCTCCTGTATATAAGAAGTCTTGGGGAATTGTCTCTAGATTATGGCACACTTGAACCCTGCATGTAGCCATGTCATTGTTCACCAGTCTGCCATGCTCTGCCGACCTTGGGACTTTCAATGGACTTGAATTAATGGCCTGCTATGTGGTTTGGTAACATCACCCAGGCCCTATAGCCTGGCACTTTGAACTCGGACTTAAAGCCTCCAAACTGTAAGAGAATAAACTCCTGTTTCTTCAAGCCATCCCATTTGTGGTATATTCTTGTCAGAATGGTACTAGGTAACCAGAACAAATGATTTCTTATAAATCAATTAAAAATCATACTAGTGAAAAAAAAATGGGTGAAAGACATGGAAAAACAATTCACAAAAGAAATAAAATTAGCCAAAAATATATAATGTGATGGTCATGTTACTAATAAAGTGAAAATTTAAACTACAATGAAATGTTCATTTTGCCTATCAAAAGGGAAACTATTTTAATTAACCTTTGATTCAGTAATTCTACTTCTAGAACACTATTCCAAATAACTGAAGAGCTGCACAAATATATATGTACAAAGATGTTTATTGTAGTAATATTTATGAAAATAACCCAAAATTTCAACCACATAGAAAGGCTTAAATAAAATATGGAGCAATCATAGAATAGGATATTATACAGATGTCCCAAATCATATTTTTATGAATATTCAATGATATCAGAAAATGTTTATGCTCTAAAGTTCAAGGATAGAAAAACGAGATTGTAAAACTGTACCTGAAGCAAGATTCCAAAATTTCAAACACAAATACATATAGATGCATATATACATACATTACAAATAGAAAAATGACTAAAAAAATATAAAAATATTAATGGTTGTTATTTTAATTTAGTGGGGGTTATGAGAGACTTTTTCTCATTTAAATTTTTCTGCATTTACCAAAATCATCAGATATTGCTTTCACCTTTTAAAAATAATAAATAAATGTTAATAATAATAATAATATAAAAATGAGATTGAAGTGATTCCAGAAGATGCAAATGTGAACTCTATATATTCTGAATGTTCTTCTTTTGTTTTACAAATGGCTAAATCTTCCAGCTAAAAAGTTTTTATTTCCGGTGGAAATAGTACTTGTATTTTTTCCATGACTGGATTTGGATACAGGATCCACTGCAACATATTTGATTTGGAAACCTCCTGCTGTTACTGAAGCATCACTTAGAAACTTCAAGGTCATAACATTTCCTGTGGGGGGAAGGTTATGAAAGAACAAAGTTATTACTCCTTCAATTTGGTAGACAATTCAAAGACTCACTGTACTCATGGGAGAATATAAGAATTCATGAGAAAGAATCCCAGAATTCAGAACTGGATTCTTAAACAAAGAAGTTGTGGTTTCATTGCCAAATGGAATAGGGCAGGAGACATTAATTTTTTCTCTGGTCTTGCAACCTGTCCTATGGGAAGTTTTATCTATCCTGTTTTAAAAGGCACTCTTTCTAGAAGGAACATCCACAGAATGAAAGGAGTATGCAGGCAATTGAGACCTAGGTGGTATGTTGTTGTTGTGTGCCATGGAGTTGATTCTAACTCACAACAACACTATGAGGCAGAATAGAATTGTCCCATGGGACTAAAAACTCTGTGAGAGCAGATTGGCAGGTCTTTTCTCCCATGGAAAAGATGGTAGGTTTGAACTTCTGACCTTTTAAGTTAGTACCTGAGCACTTAATCATTGTGGCAGCAGGGATCCTTAGTGAGGTATGGATGCACTATTTACTCAATAATGTTACAGGACAACAAGTTTACATATGTAAGAAATTAAACTAGATCCCTGCTTTATACACAGAATACCTAAATACATTTTACCTGCAGTAAAGATCAAAATGTACTGAAAATGAAGGGAAAATCATTATTGTATAAAATGAAATATAATGCAAACTGAAAAGTTTCAAACTAGAGGTACTCATGTCAGACATAGGAATGATGGGTCCAACATGCATTGCCAGGAAGCAAAAGATCAGGATGCAAACCTTTTGTTTGTAGGAAGAACATGTCAAGATGTAAATAATTTGTTCTCAGGGAAAAATGTGTTTGTGACTGCAAGTGTGTATAACCAAACCTTCTGGTGCCACTGAGGTGGTAACTCATTTCCTCCTAGCCAAGTGGCTAACCTTTACATTTCAAAAGACTTCAAGCTGAAGCTGATTTTATCTATAATCTGTCATTAGCTCCCAACCTTTCCTTTATTCTCTATGTATATAGAACCCTCTCTCCACTGATTGGTGGAGTGCTTTGTATTTTTACTTTGCACTATTCAGATCAAGCTGTATTATTCCTCAATAAAACTCCATTTCTTTCCCTTTTAATAGAGTATTAGTTTTTATTTTTTGACATTTCTAGTGTCAGAAGCAGGATTTTGAAGGTGCAATATCTTTGATGATCCCCGGGGCATCTGGACATACACACGGCACCTGCTGAGTTGCTTTGGGCTCTCTACTTCTTGGGAATCATTTATGGTTAAAAAACAAACAAACAAACAGAACCTTAGATTTTGAACTCTGCTCCCTTGTATTGATAGCTCTTTGAGTTTTATCATGGATTTGTTTTGGTTCTTGCAAGTAAAAGTTTGTTTTGTTGTAACTGTCATTATAAAAATGGGGCATTCCATGTCAAAAAGACATTTAGAGCCACCTTTTGGGACTCCTGCTCACCACATGAATAAGCATCAGGTTCTTTTATTGTGCATATTCTTGTATGTCTGGCATAAGCTCACTCAAGACAATTTGGAAAATCAGTGGCCACTTTGGGGTTGTTTTGATCTCTTTAAATTAACTTTTCTGTTCAGTAAGTTATAGAACTGAAGTTCCTAAACAGTGCCAGTGGGATGCCTATTTTCATTTGTATATTTGTACATAAAGGAAATTTAAACAGTAAAATTACTTCCCTGCAGGACACAGTCTACAAATTAAGCAGGGCAAATAATTCAAATGTCCAATTTCAGCTTCCCTCCCTTCTTTTCTCTGCCAACTGCTACCTCTTTATACCCTTCTTTTCCTTCCTACTGCTCTAATAACACTTTATTTGAACTTCCTTTTTCCCTAAAAAAAACAGCACCTAGCCTGAAATGTCCTTTAAAATTCACCCAGCAGTGATGCTAAAGATTCCCCTTGTATCACTTTTGCCTGGAGGCCAAGATCACAATTACATGCTATTGTGAAAGATCTTCCTATACTCCATGATAACTCCTACAAACTTTTTTGAAGAATTTAAATTCCTTGTTAAAACCTACCAGCCTGGGCTCCCTTATTTATATCAGCTTGTTCACATGATTACTGGCCCAGGGGAAGCCCAGTCATGGCTGGAACAGACAGAAGAATTCCAAGGACATTTTAGTCTTACATATTGATAAAATAGCCACGGAGCTGTTGGAAGACTATTAGGCCTTGAGTAAAATATTGCTAGAGGCTATCCCAAAGGCCTTTTCTCCACTAATTGATTGGATAAAATTCACTCTTATAAACAAAATGAAGATAATTGGTTTACCTAATATGCTGCATGTTCCTATGATTCAGGCTATATGTGAAAGTTCCCACATGGGACGAGATAAAATGATTAAGACATTTAAGGAATATTGGTGGGGAAAATTTTTGAGGCTGTTGAACATGTTACCTACCACTCATTGTCCTATTTGCCCTCATTAAAATCCTGGGAAATACATTGAAGTCCTACCTGGACAATACCCTTTACTTTCTGAGCTTGTGCTTGAATGGCAAATAGATTTTATTTAACTTTCACCCTCAAATGATTATAAATGTGTATTAGTAATGGTGCACAAGACTGAGGATTTTCACATTGGGTAGAAGCCTTCCCCTACCATTTTGCTACTGCAGGCTTTGTGGCAAAGAAACTTCTTGATAACCTCATGCCCACCAGGGGAGCACCAAAAACTCTGTAGTGATTGGGGAATTCATTTCTCTGGTCAAGTCATCCAATATCTTTGTCGAGTTTCTTCCATTTATCAAAGGATATATTGCTCCTATAATCCTCAGTCTTCTGGACTAATGGAATAATAAAGACCCAAATAGCAAAACTATGTGAAACTTTAAATTTATCCTGGACTAAGGTCCTTCTCTTACTTCTTTGAAATCTGAGGCCCACATCATTTGGATCTCACAAACTTGTTTTTGTTAGGTGATAACGATTTGGTTCTGACTCATAGCAACCCCATGTGTAACAGAATGAATCACTGACCGATCCTGCACCATCCTCACAATTGTTGCTATGTTTAAGCCCATTAATGCAGCCACTCAATCCATCTCATCAGGGTTCTTCTTCTATTTCACTGACCCATTTCCTTGCCAGGCATGATGCCCTTCTCCAGAGTCTGGTCCCTCCTGATAACATGCCCAAAGTATCTGAGGTGAAGTCTCACCATCTTTATTTCTAAGGAGCATTCTGGCTCTACTTTTTCTAAGATATTTTTGTTTGTTCTGGCAGTCCATGGTATATTTAGTATTCTTTCCTAGCACAATAATTGAAAGGTATTCATTTTCCTTTTATCTTCCACCTTTTGTTTGCATATGTGGTGACTGAAAATACTATGGCTTGAGTCAGGGGCATCTTAGTCCTCAAAGTGACATCTTCATTATTTTTTAAAAATATATTTTAGAGATGTCTTATGCAGCAGATTTGCCCAGTACAATATGTCATTTAATTTCTTGACTGCTGTTTCCACAGGCATTGATTGTAAATCCAAGTAAAATTAAATCCTTGACAACTTCAAATTTTTCTCCATTGATCATGATGTTGCTTATTGGTCCAGTTGTGAGGATTTTTGTTTTTGTTATGTTGAAGTGTAATCCATACTGAAGGCTGTAGTTTTTGATCTTCATCAGTAAGTACTTCAAATCTTCTTCACTTTTAGCCAGCAAGGTTGTGTCACCTGCATATCATACATTGTTAATGAGTCTTTCTCCAATCCTGATGCTGTGTTTTTCTTCATATAACGCAGTTTCTCAGATTTTTTGCTAAACATACATATAAAATAAGTACGGTGAAAGGATACAACACTGACACAAGGTTTCCTGATTTTAAACCATGCAGTATACCCCTGTTCTGTTCAAATGACTGCCTTTTAGTCTAAATACAGATTCTACATCAGTACAATAAAGTGTTCTGGAACTCCCATTCTTTGCCATGTTTTTATGGCAAATATAAATTTGTTATGATCCACACAGTCCAGTGCCTTTGTATAGTTGATAAAAAACAGGTAAATATCTTTCTGGTTTTCTCTGCTTTCATCCAAGATTCATCTGACATCAACAATGCTACCCATTGTTCCACACCTTCTTCTGAATCTGGCTTGAATTTCTGGCAGTTCCTTGTCAATGTGCTGCTGCAACCATTTTTGAATTATCCTAAGCAAGTTTTACTTATGTGTGATGTTAATGATGTTGTTTGATAATTTCTGCATTTCATTCAAATAGCTTTCTTTGGAATGGGCACAAATATGGGTCTTTTTCAGTCAGTTGGCTAGGTAGCTGTCTTCCAAATTTCTTGGCATAGAAAGTGAGCACTTCCAGCACTGCATTCATTTGTTGAAACATCTCAATTGGTTTTCCATCAATGCCTGGAGTCTTGTTTTTTGCCAGTGACATCAATGTGTCTTGGACTTCTTCCTTCATTACCCTTGGTTCTTGATCATATGCTGCCTCCTGAAAAGCACTGAGTAGTGCTTTTTGGTACAGTGACTGTGTATCTTTTCATCTTCTTTTGATGCTTGCATTGTTCAATATTTTGCCTGTAGAATACTTCAGTATTCCAACTCGAAGCTTGAATTTTTTCTTCAGTTCTTTCAGGTTGAGAAGCACTGATCATGTTCTTCCCTTTTTGTTTCTAGCTTCAGGTTTTTGCACATTTCATTATCATAGTTTACTTTATCTTCTTGAGCTACCCTTTGAAATCTTCTGTTCAGCTTTTTACTTTATCATTTCTTCCATTTGCTTTAGCTACAGTATGTTAAAGAGCAAGTTTCACAAGCTTACGTCTTATGACACAGTTATTAGGAGACCCACGGTCCTTATGTTGCCTTCACTGACCCAAACATTGTTCAATCTGAATTATTGAAATGTTGCAAGTCTTTAATCCAGTGTTCTAAAGAATATCTTTCACAGATTAGAAAAGCCTTTGGTGAACAGAAACTAGACTCCCAAATTATGCCTAACATCATTCCAAGAGACTAT